TTCCAAGGTCATGGCCAGCGCTGCAGGACCAGCAGCATGGAGTCCGAGCTATACAGAAAAATCCTCCTGTTCCAAAACATCTAAAAAAGAAACAAAAAATTTATTGTAGTTGCAAAAGTAATCGAAGAAAAAGAATTACAATTTTAAAAAATTAAAAAGAAAAAAAAAATTTATTGTAGTAAAGCATATACAACATAAAATCTATCATTTTAACCTTTTTTTTTTTTTTTGAGACGGAAGCTGGAGTGCAGTGGTGCAACCCTGGCTCACTGCAACCTCCGCCTCCCGGGTTCAAGTGATCCTCCTGCCTCACACTCCCGAGTAGCTCGGACTACAGGTGTCTGCCATCACGCCCAGCTAATCTTTTTATTTTTAGTAGAGACAGGGTTTCACTGTTGTCTAAGATGGTCTGGATCTCTTGACCTTGTGATCCACCCACCTTGGCCTCCCAAAGTGCTGGGATTACAAGCATGAGCCATCACGCCTGGCCCATTTTAACCATTTTTAAGTGTACAGTTCAGTGGTATGAAGTACAATAAGTCCTCACTTAACATTCTCTATAGGTTCTTGGAAATTATGACTTTTTTTTTTTTTTTGAGACAAAATCTCACTCTGTTGCCAGGTGTCAGGCTGGAGTGCAGTGGTGCAATCTCAGCTCACTGCAACTTCTACCTCCTGGGTTCAAGCAATTATCCTGCCTCAGCCTCCCAAGTAGATGGGACTACAGGCACACACCACCACGCCCAGCTAATTTTTGTATTTTTTAGTAGAGACAGGGTTTCACCATGTTGGCCAGGATGCTTTTGAGCACTTGACCTTGTGATCCACCCGCCTTGGCCTCCCAAAGTGCTGTGATTACAGGCATGAGCCACCGTGCCTGGCCTTTTTTTTTATACAGTGTCTCACTCTTTCACCCAGGCTGGAGTGCAGTGGTACAATTTCAACTCACTGCAACCTCCACCACCTGGGCTCAAGCGATTCTCCTGCCTCAGCCTCCTGAGTAGCTGGGATTACAGGTGCATGCTACCATGCCCAGCTAATTTTTGTTTGTTTGTTTCGAGATGGAGTTTCACTCTTGTTGCCCAGGCTGGAGTGCAGTGGTACAATCTCGGCTCACTGCAACCTTCACCTCCAGGTTCAAGTGATTCTCCTACCTTGGGGGCTAATCAAGTGATTAGCCTCCCGAGTAGCTGGGAATACAGGCGCCCACCACCACACATGGCTAATTTTTGTATTTTTAGTAGAGACGGGGTTTCACCACGTTGGTCAAGGTGGTCTCGAACTCCTGACCTCAGTTGATCTGCCTGCCTCGACCTCCCAAAGTGCTGGGATTACAGGTGTGAGGCACTGCACCTGGCAGGAAGCTACTGCTTTAAGTGAGACATAACTAAACCAACTTTAAATAGGCTAATTTCTATAAACAAGACTAAGTTCCTACAGCATCTCTCTGGTCACAAAAATATCACCAACTTCTGCATAAAGATCAGGCCAGGCGAGGTGGCTCACGCCTATAATCCCAGCATTTTTGGAGGCTGAAGCAGGAGGAGCCTTTGAGGCCAGGAGTTTGAGACCAGCCTGGGCAACAAAGTGAGACCTCATCTCTATTTAATAAATAAATAAACACATAAATGCCAAAAAATTATAATATCACACACTGGAATAAATACATTTCAAAAAGATTGATAAAAACAAGTCAAATAATTATTTACCTGCTCATTCCCACTTGGGGTTGCAGGTAGCCGGAGCCTGTCCCAGAAGCTCAGGGCCCAAGGCAGAAAACAGCCCCAGAGAGGATGGCCTCCCATCGCAAACCGAGCTCACACCCACACGCGCTCGGACTGGGACCATTTAGACACATCGATTCACCTCTGTGCACACCTTTGGGATGGGGAAGGAAACCAGAGTACCTGGAGAAAACCCTCATAGACTTGGGGGTCGTATGCAAACTCCACAGACAGTGGGCCCAGACGGGAATCAAAATTTCTTTTCTCATCAACGTTATAATGAAATGATGGTGAATGAAACCACATTCATGTCGTTGCATAATCACCACCATCTATCTCAGAACTTTATTATTATTTGAGGTGGAGTTTCACATTGTAGTGCAATGGCACAATCTCAGCTCACTGCAACCTCCGCCTCCAGGGTTCAAGTGATCCTCCTGCCTCAGCCTCCAGAATAGCTGGCATTACAGGGGCCTGCCACCATGCCCAGGTAATTTTTGTATTTTCAGTAGAGATGGGTTTTCACCATGTTGGTCAAGATGGTCTCAAATTCCTTACCTCAGGTGATTTGGCCAACTCAGCCTCCCAAAGTGCTGAGATTACAGGCATGACCCACCACGCCCGGCCTATGTCCAGAACTTTTTCATCTTCCAAAACTGAAACTCTGTCCCCATTAAACACTAAACCCACATCCTCATCTCCCAGCCCCTGGCCGCCACCATTCTACTTTCCATCTCTATGAATTTGACTATTCTAGAAGCCTCCTATGAGTGGAATCATACAATATTTGTCCCTTAGATTTATTCACATTGTAGCAGGTGTCAGAATGTCATTCTCTTTTAAGTCTGAATAATATTCCATTGAATGGATAAAGCTCACTTTGTTTATTCACTCATTTGTTGATGGAAATTTGGTTTGTTTCTACCTTTTGGCTATTGTAAATATTGCTGCTGTGAACATTGGTGTATAAATATCTGTTTTAAGTCTCTGCTGTTTTCTGGCTGGGTGAGGTGGCTCACGCCTATAACCCCAGCACTTTGGTAGGCCAAGGTGGAAGGATCACCGGAGCTTAGGGGTTTGAGAACAGTCTGGGCAACACAGCAAGACCTCATCTCTACAAAACCTTGACAAATCACCCGAACATGGTGGCACATGCCTGTAGTTGCAGCCACTTGGGAGGCTGAGGTGGGACCATGGCTTGAGCCCAGGAAGTTGAGGCTGCAGTGAGCGGTGATTCCACCACTGCACTCCAGCCTGGATGACACAGTGACAGAGCAAAGCCTATCACAGAAAGAAAGAGAGAAAGAGAGACAGAGAGAGAGAGAGAGGGAGAGAGAGAGGAAGGGAGGAAGAGAGGAAGGGAGGGAGGGAGGGAAGGAGGGAAGGGAGGGAAGGAGGGAGGGAGGGAGGGAAGGAGGGGAGGAGAGAAGGAGTGAAGGAGGGAAAGGAGGAAGGGAGGAAGGGAGGGAAGGAGAAAGGAGGGAAGGAGGGAAGGAGGGAAGGAGGGAAGGAGAGTGGGAGGGAGGGAGAGAGAGAAAGAGAGAAAAAGAAAGAAAGAGGCCAGGCATGGTGGCTCACACTTATAATTCCAGCACTTTGGGAGGCTGAGGCGGGAGGATCACAAGGTCAGGAGATCGAGCCCATCCAGGCTAATAGAGCGAAACCCTGTTTCTACTAAAAATACAAAAAATTAGGCAGGCATGGTGATAGGCACCTGTAGTCCCAGCTACTTGGGAGGCTGAGGCAGAAGAATCGCTTGAACATTTGGGAAGCAGAGGCTGCAGTGAGCTGAGATTGTGCCACTGCACTCCAGCCTGGGTGACAGAGCAAGACTCCATCTCAAAAAAAAAAAAAAAAAAAAAAGAAAAGAAAAAAAAAAAAGAAAAAAAGGAAGGGAGGGAGGCAGGGAGGGAGAGAGGGAGGGAGGAAAGGAGGGAGGGAGGGAGGGAAAGGGCACATCAAGATGATTCATGTTGGAACATGAAAATAAAGAAGATGCCGCTTGTTATTAAACAGCACCTAGCCGGACAACACATGGAGCTTGCAAAATCCTCGGAACCTCATTCTTGGTTGACAAACAGAAAGGGGCTTCTTCCCCAGTTGCTTCCACTGTACACAGGACAGCGAGTGGCTGTGACCGCCTAAACACCCTCCTCCCAAGTCACACCCAGCAGTGACCCGCCTGCCACGCCACATCACCCGTTTGTGTCATTTCTCCCACAGGCAGTCCCTTCCTTTGCGTCAATCAAAAGCTGACGGGGACCCGGCAGCTGGCTTGCTTCTGTCAGCAGCAAATGCTGCCCACATTTCAGAACACTAGTGAAAGTGGGAAAGACGCTTAGTGAGTTGGCAAAAAAAAAAAAAAAAAAAGAAGGGTGGGAAAGAAATGATTACCATAAGTTTTCCTTGATGAAGGCAGATTTTGATTCAGCCCTCATTCCCTAATTTTCAACGCTACTTTGACAGTGGTTTATTTTATTTTGAGATGGAGTTTCGCTCTTGTTGCCCAGGCTGGAGTGCAATGGCGTGATCTCAGCTCACTGCAACCTCCATCTCCCAGGTTCAAGTGATTCTCCTGCCACAGCCTCCTGAGTAGCTGGGGTTACAGACGCCCGCCACCACACTTGGCTAATTTTTCTGTTTTTAGTAGAGATGGGGTTTCACCACTTTGACCAGGCTGGTCTCAAACTCCTGACCTCAAGTGATCTGCCTGCCTCAGCCTCCCAAAGTTACAGTGGTTTATTTTAAAACATAATTTTGAGTCATGGAATAACCACAGAATATGCAACATATTCTTTGTTTATCTGATTATGGTGATCAATTCATTAGGTTTGCTTGACTCCCAGAATTCATACATATTAACAAATATTTTATTGAGTCTGAATGTTTCTGCCTCCAACAAAATCCATAACTTCAGAGGCGATAGTATTAGGAGGTAAGATTTTTGGGAGCTGATCAGGTCATGAGGGTGACGCCCTTATGAATAGAATTAGTGCCCTTGTAAGAGGCCCCAGAGCTGCCAAGCCCCTCCCACCTCCTGAGATCTCAGCAAGAAGGCACCTCTGTGAACCAGAAAGCAGCCCTCGCCAGACACTGAATCTTCCAGCACTTGATCTTGGGACTTCCTAGCCTCCAGAACTGTGAGAAAAAACAGTGGCACAATCATCATGGCTCACTGCCACCTCAAGCTCCTGGGCTCAACGGATCCTCCCACCTCAGCCTCCCCAGTAGCAGGGACCACAGACATGCACTGCTGCACCCAGCTGATGTTTTTTATTTTTGTAGAGATGGGGTCTTGCCATCTTGCCCAGGCCTACAGGCGTGCACCACCATGCCTGGCTTCCAACCATAATTAATTGTATCAAAACGAGCAGAAAGCTCACTTGGACATGGGTGCTGATTCTTCGTTGATTTTGCCATATGACCAAACTGGGTTGTCAAGAAACATCCACTCCTCTGTGCTATCTGTGTTCAAGGAGAGGAAGATAACAATTAAGATAAAGTCAGGCTTTTCAATCTAGAAAATTCCCCTTCTGGCAGCAAATACCAGTCTGGAAGCAGGTCTGGAAAACACACCCACAAAAGGCGTGAGATCAGTTGGTAGAAAAAGGCAACACAGACCACGTCTATGAGAAAGGCTGAGTCTGAGATCAAGTGTTGGCTCATCACCCTGTGGCTCCAGATCCACCCCCCACCCCTGCCAGGGCAATGACAGAAACACCACAATAAGCTGCACCCGGCCAGGAGCAGTGGCTCATGCCTATAATCCCAGCACTTCGGGAGGTTGAGGGAGGTGGATTGCTTGAAGCCAAGAGTTCAAGACCAGCCTGGCCAACATGGCAAAACCCCATCTTTACAAAAAATACAAAAATTACCTGGGTGCTGTGGCTCAGGCCTATAATCCCAGTAGGGAGGCAGAGGAGGGAGGATGGCTCGAGCCCAGGAGTTCAAGACCTGCCTGGGCAATATAGCAAGACCCCCTTCTCCACAAAAAGGAAAAAAACAAAAAGACAAAACACACATATATATATAAATTAGCTGAACGTGGTGGCATGTGCCTGTAGTCCCAGCTACTAGGGAGGCTGAGGTAGATGCAGCACAGGAGCCTGGCAGTTAGAGGCTGCAGTGAGCTATGACTGCACCACTGCACTCCAACCTGCATGACAGAGTGAGACCCCGTCTTTAAAAAAAAAAGGTTATGCAAAACTGAAGCACATGAGGTCCATCTGTCCCTTTTGCTTCTGTGTGTCTGTCTCTCTCAATGAACTGATTGTCCCTTGATCACACTGAGCCAGTGGGGTCCAGAAGCCAGGACACTGGACCTGAGATCGAATCCCAGTTCTGAAAGTTGCCACCTGGGTATCTCAGGCAAGGCCTGGCTTACCTCTCTGGGTCTCCAGCTCCCATTCTGGAAAATGAGAATATTCTAATACCTGCCTTGCCCATCTCAAAGAGTTCTGAGAGACCCAAAGGAAGAAGTGAATGAGCAGGTGCTTTGTGTATAAAGATGAAACACAGGCTAGACAAGACCCCCATCTCTAAAAAAAAAAAAAGGAAGAAAGAAACATAGGCTAGAAAGAAACATAATCTGTTCTTATTGTCACTATTAGATCTGCCACTTACAGTATGACCTTGCGCAAATTCCACAAGTACTTTGAGTCTATATTTCCTCATCTGTAAGGCAAAGAAAAAAAAATATTTTTTGGACGGAGTTTCACTCTTACTGCCCAGGCTGGAGTGCAAAGACACAATCTTGGCCCATCGCATCCTCCATCTCCTGAGTTCAAGCTATTCTCCTCCCTCAGTCTCCTCAGTAGCTAGGATTACAGGTGCCCACCATCACAACTGACTAATTTTTTGTATTTTTAGTAGGGTCAGGATTTCACCATGTTGGCGAGGCTGGTCTTGAATTCCTGACCTCAGGGGATCCGCCCACCTCGGCCTCCCAAAGTGCTGCGATTACAGGCATGAACCACCTCACCCTGCCTGAGAAAAGATTCCCTAAGGCCTGGTGCTGTGGTTCACACCTGTAATCCCGGCACTTTGAAAGGCCAAGGTGGGCGGAACACCTGAGGTCAGGAGTTCAAGACCAGTCTGGTCCACATGGCAGAACCCCGTCTCTACTAAAAATACAAAAAAATTAGCTGGGTGTGGTGGCAGGCACCTATAATCCCAGCTACTCAGGAGGCTGGGGCAACAGAATCACTAGAACCCTCGAGGTGGAGGTTGCAGTGAGCTGAAATCATGCCACTTCACTCCAGCCTGGGCAACAGAATGAGATCCTAACTCAAGAAAAAAAAAGATTCCCTACCTCAAAGGGTTAAAATAGGGATTACATGAGATAGTTAATATAAAACAGACACCATTGGTGGGCTTATCCAGGCCCTAGGGAGGGTTTCGCCCTCCTGAATAAGAAGGTAAGGACTTGCTAAGGGAAGGCCCTTCATCCCTTCACCCTTCCTCTTCTTTCTGCCTGGAACATCAATGTGAGGTGTGGAGGTACAGTGGCCATCTTGTAACCATGAGACAAGAGGCTTGAGAATGAGGTCTATGCTAAGGACAGAGGAAGAGAAAAATGAGAAGAGCCTGGGCTCCTGGTAGCATCAGTGGTCATTAATACTGACATGGTTTGGATCCGTGTCCCCACCAACATCTCATGTTGAAATATAATTCCCAGTGCTGGAGGTGGGGTCTGGTGGGAGGTGATTGGATCCTGGGGCAGTTTCTCATGGTTTAACACCATCCCCCTTTGGTGCTGTTGTTAGCGACAATGACAGTGATCGCTGGAGCAGGAACAAGAGAGACAGCACCTCCCCTCTCTCTTTCCTTGCTCCTGCCCCAGCCATGTAAGACAAGCCTGCATTCCCTTCAGCTTCCACAATGATTGCAGGTTTCCCGAGGCCTCCCTGGATGCTGAGCAGATGCCAGCATCATGCTTCCTGTACAGCCTGTGGAACCACAAGCAAATCCAACCTCTTTTCCTTCCTTAGAAATTACCCAGTCTCAGCCATTTCTTTATAGTGATGTGAGAACAAACTAATACAGATACCAGCCACGAAGTGCCTACCATGAACTTTTTCCAACACAGGAAAAATGGCCTTTATTGTCATCAGCCTCTAAAACAGAGCTTTCTGTGACTTGCCTCCATATGCACTCCAAACTGACACACTATCTAATTTATGCTGAGGGCACAGCCAAGGAACATACCCAGGCACGCGGCTTTTACCTGCAGAGCTAGACAAAGTTGCAGAAGTGAAAGTAAAATTGGAAGACTGGATGAAAGATGTCAAAATCATGGGAAGGCTGAGTCATTTGAGAATCCTCAGACATCTCATAGATGAGGAAAATCACAGTATTAGCGTTTACACGAAGAAGGTGATCAGTCAAAACATTCCACACAAGAAAAGGCCCTTTGGCAAATACTTTCCTTTAAAGTAAATGCAGGTGGATCACGAGGTCAGGAGATCATGACTATCCCGGCCAACATGATGAAACCCTGTATCTACTGAAATACAAAAATTAGCTGGACGTGGTGGCACGTGCCTATAATCCCAGCTACTCAGGAGGCTGAGGCAGGAGAATTGCTTGGACCCAGAGGTGGAGGTTGCAGTGAGTGGAGATCGTGCTATTGCACTCCAGCCTAACAACAGAGCCATACTCTGTTTCAAAAAAAAAAAAAAAGAAGAAAGTAAATGACTGTAACAGGCCAGACACAGTGGCTCGTGCCTGTAATCCCAGCACTTTGGGAGGCCGAGGCGGTGGATCACCTGAGGTCAGGAGTTGGAGACCAGCCCGGCCAACATGGTGAAACCCTGTCTCTACTAAAAATACAAAAATTAGCCAAGTGTGGTGGCGAACACCTGCAGTCCCAGCTACTCGGGAGGTTGAGGTGGTGGAATGGCTTGAATGAGACTGACTATTTAATCAAGCCTTTCCAGCTTTCCACATGAGCCCAGTAAATTGACCTCTCAGCCTGAAGACGCATCCGTGGAAATTTCCACCAACCATAACCTGAAGAGTTTGCTCCTGCCGCCTCTTGGGCAGCATGCCAGGCATCTTCCCTCAGTGGTTAAGTCGAGACATGGCTCACAAAGCAATGGAACAAATGCCATTTACGTCCCCATATCCTGCAAAAGCCAAAAGAGAGAAAATAGCCCAGATAGCCTAGGTCTTTTCACGGATTTTCAGCGTCAGTCATCTTTGATTAAGTAGCTGTGCTATCCACATCAATGAACCTACGGCCCCATGAATAATACTGTGGCCTGTTGCCATACTCATAATGGAAGGACATAAAAACGTCCTTATGGCCAGGCGTGGTGGCTCCTGCCTGAAATCCCAGCACTTTGGAGACCGAGGCAGGCGGATCACGAGGTCAGGAGATCGAGACCATCCTGGCTAACACAGTGAAACCTCATCTCCACTAAAAATACAAAAAATTAGCCAGGTGTGGTGGCACACACCTGTAGTCCCAGCTACTTGGGAGGCTTAGGGAAGAGAATCGCTTGAACCCAGGAGGCGGAGGTTGCAGTGAGCCAAGACCGTGCCACTGCACTCCAGCCTGGGCAACAGAGTGATACTCTGTCTCAAAAAAAGAAAAAGAAAAAGACTACGTCTAAAAAAAAAGTCCTTATTTGGAATTCATAAAACTGAAGATGCAATTTTTATTCCATCCAAAAATGGCTACTAGAGGTTCATTAGTTATCTCCCTTTTCTTCCTTCAGCTGTCGGTTCCTGAGCAAATCATTTCTTTGGGCTCCATCACATTTACATGTTCATAGGTGATACCCATGCAGGTGTGAGAAGGCACTATCTTTCATTGATGAAAATGATCCATTTGGCCAGGCGTGCTGGCTCACGCCTGTAATCCTAGCACTTTGGGAGGCTGAGGTGGGTGGCTCACCTGAGCTCAAGAGTTTGAGACCAGCCTGACCAACATGGTGAAACCCTGTCTCTACTAAAAATACAAAAATTAGCCAAGCATGGTAGCACACACCTGTAATCCCAGCTACTCGGCAAGTTGAGACAGGAGGGTCGCTTGAACCCAGGAGGCGGAGGTTTCAGTGAGCTGAGATGCAGCACTCCAGCCTGGGCAACAAAGAGCAAAACTCCATCTAAAATACATATATTGTTTTTCTTTTTAAAAGAGATTAATAATAATAAAATGATCCAACTGCCTCCCAAACTGCTTTTCCAGGAAGCAGGTGGAGGGACGGTGCTGAGATGGTGTGGTTTCTATGGCAACAAGTCAAATTGGGCCACCCAAAGGATTAAACTTCTCACCTGGGCCCCAGTACGGTAACCCATGAAAGAACCGGCCTTAGACTTCCACGGCCTCAACACTCACACTTGCTGCCACCCCCAGGTCCCACCCCAGTCCTCTGCCCTGGGTCCCACACCCCCAGCTACACTCTGACAGACACTGGGCTGGAGAGACCCAGGACTCCAGACACACCCAGGATGTTCTCACCACTTCCCAGAGCCAAATGCCCTGGCTGCGAAACAGAGAAGTGAAACCTATAAATAATCAAGGCTTGTTTCCAAACCTTCAGCATTCTCGCACCCTGCCCTGTCATTCGTGTGTGTGTGTGTGTGTGTGTGTGTGTGTGTGTGACAAAGATGACATCATCTGTAGGTAGAGATGTAAATATAGATACATCTCAGCTATTTCTCAGGAGGCTGGGGCAGGAGAATCGCTTGAGCCCAGGCGGAAGTTACGGTGGCCAAGACTGCGCCACTGCACTCCAGCCTGGGCAACAGAGCAAGACTCTGTCTCAAAAAAAAAAAAACAAAAAAAGATATATCAGCTAAACACTTTACACAGATTTTCTGATTTAATCCTATCAATGTGAGAAGTATTATCTCTGTTTTACTGATGAGAAAAACAGATTTACAGAGTTTCGTTTGCTTGTTTTTTTTTGGTGGGTGGACAGTATCTCACCCTGTCGCCCAGACTGGAGTGCAGTGGTATGATCACAGCTCACTGCAGCCTCAAACTAATGGGCTCAAGAGATCCTCTTGTCTCGGGTTCCCAAGTACCTCAGACCACAGGCATATGCCGTCATGCCTGGCTATTTTTTTTTTAATTATTTTTTATAGAGATGGGGTCTTGCTGTGTTGCCCAGGCTGGACTCTAACTCTTGGCCTCAAGCACTCCACCTGCCTCGGCCTCCCAAAGTGCTGGGATTATAGGCGTGAACTGCTGTGCCTGGCCCCAAGAGATGTTTTTTCACCTTACCAAAGTCACCAACTGATGGGAGGTGGGGGTGAGGGTAGCGGTGGCTTTGAGGACTCTGCAGTCACCACGATGCACCCCTTCCATCTCACTTTCATCAGGCTCCTAAAGCCGCACCCTAAGCCATGCCAGGTTTCCTGCTATTTCTCAGGCTGGCCCGACACCATCACGACTCCACATGTGTGTCCAGGTCTGGCTCCAGGTTCCCCTTCCAGGGCCCTCTCCCTGCTTCTTTTGAACTCCTCCTCATACAAGAGGCTCCAGATGACTGCTGCCTCAGACGCCAGGCCTGATGTCCTGCCAGAATACAAGCTTCAAGCACTGAATTATGGGTTCAGGGGCCGGCTCCTGATCCTCACCCTCAGAACCTAGTTCTGAACGAGTGAGCATGTGAGTGGTTCTATTTTTTTTTTTTTGCATATACACAGGGTCTTGCTATGTTGCCCAGGCTGGTCTCAAACTCCTGGCCTCAGGTGTTCCTCCACAGCCTCCCAAAGTGCTGGGATGATCGACTTTTTATAACCTCAAGCTTAGCTCAGCTCCAACAGAGCAGGCAGCCAAGGGATGTTGGTTGAATAAATGAACAAACCAAGTAATGTTTTTATACCTCACAAATACTGGTCAACAGTATTACCTTTCAAAAATCATTGATTATATCATAATCTCAAAAATTTAGGTCACTGATTAGATTACAAACACATAATTTTGATTGTAACCTAAAATTTATCATTTTAACCATTTTTTAAGTGTGCAATTCAGTGACATTAATGATATTCACATTATTGGCCAGGCGCAGTGGCTCACACTTATAATCCAGCACTTTAGGAGACCAAGACTGGCAGATCCCTGAGGCCAGGCATTAGAGACCAGCCTGGCCAACACGGCAAAATCCCATCTCTACTCCAACACAAAAATTAGCTGGGCATGGTGGCATGCACCTGTAATCCAAGCTACTCGGGAGGCTGAGGCAGGAAAATCACTTGAACCTGAGAGGCAGAGGTTGCAGTGAGCCGAGATCGCACCACTGCACTCTAGCCTGGGCGACAGAGCAAGACCCTGTCTCAAAAAAAAAAAAGATAAGAAAAAGTATATTCACATTGGTGTGCAGCCATCACCACCATCTATCTTCAAATATTTTCATCTTAAACTGAACCTTTGTTCCCAGTAAACCCTAACTCCTCACCCCTTTCCTCCATTCCCTGACACATCATTCCATTTTCTGTCTCCATAGGTGACTCTTCTGGGTCCCTCCTGTAAGTGGAATTACACAACACTGTCCTTTTGTGTCTGGCTTATTTCACTTAGCACAGTGTCCTCAAGGTTTATTCATCGTACAGCCTGTCTCGGAATTCTGTAATTTTTAAGATACTCACTGGATCATCTAAAAATGCTGATGAGCTCCTGCTGCAGGCAGGGTCTGTCCTCACTACTCCAACTAAAAAGGCAAATGACAGAGTCTCTGCTCGAAGGTGTCCGCCAAACAACGTCACTTTTGATTTTTCTTTTCTTTTTTTTTTTTGCCTTTTTATGAGACTTCTGGAATCTCTCTGTCTTCTGCAATTAATAGGTTGACCTGGAGAGACAGTCTACAGTCTACAGGCTAGTGTGGGAAGCCATTTTCAAAGGTGAAGAGGAAGGCAGATAGGCCAGGTATATTGGCTGCCTCTCATCTAGTAGCATGGGACCCCTTAAAAGTGACATTGGCCAGGTGCAGTGGCTCACGCCTGTAATTCCAGCACTTTGGGAGGCCAAGGCAGAAGAATTGCTTGAGCCCAGGAGTAAAGACCAGTCTATAGTGAGACATAGTGAGACCCCATCTCTACAAAAAATGTATATATATAAATTAGCCAGGTGTGGTGGTGGGCGCCTGTAGTCCCAGTTGCACAGGAGGCTGAGGCAGGAGAATCTTTTGACCCTGGGAGGCAGAGGTTAGAGTGAGCCGAGATCACGCCACTGCACTCTAGCCTAGGTGACAGAGAAAGACTCCATCTCAAAAAACAAACAAGCAAAAATGTCTTTCAGTGGCACGGTAGCTGACGTCTATCATCCCATAACTTTGGGAGGCCAAGGTATGAGAATCACTTGAAGCTAGCAGTTCAGGACTAGCCCAGGCAACATACCAAGATACTG